CCCCCCGTTGCCCTGTTCAGAACCTTCTCACTTCAAACATTTTCGCAATGTCTATCTCGGTGGATATAGCCGGCTGAAAAGACATGTGTTTGCTAAAAAATTGTACACTTAGTAGTAGGTGACAACGTTCATCTCTTTTCTGTCTAGAGATGTCACCCCCTTTTTCGAAATAATATTGTTAATTTGTAGGGTATATTGTGGGTGGTCGAGCTTACAGTGGTGATTTGTGACGCACCTGTGGAAAGAGACATCTACCCCATTTTTGACTTGACATTTTGATAGCCAAAATACCAAAAAAAAATCAATAAACGGCACTAGATTAGGTATCAATCGTGTTATTTTGAAACATGACTCAGTAACCCGACCTCATTATGCAATTAAGACGATTTAAATTTTTCCCTAGGGTAAGGTTACATCACCCCTATGTAATTAAGTTTGATTAATTGCGGGAAGGAATGCAGGTGAGACGCCTGCGTTCCTAATCCATTACCTCAAGTCACCATTAATCAATGTAGATTAAATCCTCATTATTTATTCTACTTGCAATGGCTGTGCCAGTGGGTGGGGGGAAAGGGGTGGGGGGTACAGCAAACATCCATCCCTTGGGGTTACCCCTCCCCCTTCCCTCCCTAACATACAATATAAAAAGCAAAATGATATAAAACGTATATATATAGCCATATCATTCTTGTACCATACTTATAATGTATATAAAATATTATAATGGATTGCCCTCGTCTCGGCAAATTGATTTAACCTTGTACCCCCACCCCTGGATTTGTGCTTGACGATGTTGGAGGTATAAAAATCACATATATGTGGTTTATGATGTTATCAGTGATATTATAACACATGTAAACGAAAGGAATTCATAGCCAGAAACACGTTGGAAACGATTCATTACGTACTGATAAGTAGAAAGACAGTGAGAACATGCACGTGCTTTTTACTTCATAAAATGTCCCGTTGTGTATGAAGGAAAACTATTTTAGTCCAAAGGGTATAAAAAATAAACCCGGTTATCTACCAGGGTATGAAGGACATGTTTCTCCATTATTTGAATAGACTTACAAACTGAGAGAGAGAGAGAGAGAGAGAGAGAGAGAGAGAGAGAGAGAGAGAGTGATCAATACAATTTTAATTGTATTGTATAATATTAAAATATTTGAATTTACTTTTAAGTTAACACACGTAGTATTATGCTTAAAATCAATGGTATAGGAAGATGATGAGGTCATATATACTGTACTTTGATAATTTCGTCATCTCGGTCATGTATGAAATGCAGCAATTTTTTTATTCTGTTGTGTCGCTCGGTGAAAACAATATGCCTGCTCTTGTATCTCTCCCTCTCTCAAAATTATTAACCCGATCCAATATTTCTTCCACGGAGAATGATAGATTTAGGCCAGCTACAATACTCCGAGTGTCAGTGTTTTATGCTCTTTAAAAGTTTGAAGTCTTAGGTGAAAAAGTACAGGGGCGTTGAAGTCACTTGAGAAGATATCACTAAGAAATTATGCAGCAGCATACGCAAATTTTGCCCTAATCCTCAGCTTACCAGCTCCAAGAGCACGCTTGACCACAAAGTGACCAGTCATGCGTACACGACAAGAAGTTGTAGCTGTAATACTGTCCCCGTTAGGGGGCCAGCGGCCGGGGATTGTATCACCTATGTTACGTCACATGTGACGTAATAATACAATACGGCCGGTAGTCCGTATCCTTTGTATTGTAGGTTACGCAGTAATCCGACAATCGCCCCTATGGTCAAGCGCGTTAGCCAGTGGCTAGTTTTATTGTGTTATAATTGGTACTGAGGGGTGATATTACTGTGTCACAGTCAAAGTTGTTGTTGTTGTCAATATGCTTGGCCATGTTTTATCAATGGTACTGGTATCGGTGCGTATTGTTGCTATAATTGATATTGTGCTAGCATTCAGCTTACCTTTATTATTGCATTGTTATTATTTACCAGAACGTTGTTATTGCTTTTGTAGAATGCTTGGCCTAAACCGCGAGCATATATGTCCATAATGATTTTTGGAAAATAATTGTTATATCTTTTAAGTAAATCAATTAAAACATCAATTAAAAGATAAAACTTGATAAATTTTATTTTGATCTTATTTTATTTTGATGGAGAGAGAGAGAGAGAGATAAACGGTGGATGGATGATATATTACTCATACATAACGATGTTATTTAAGGCAATTTAGTTACATTAATTAAAAGGTAACCATCATTACAGAGAGAGAGAGAGAGAGAGAGAGAGAGAGAGAGAGAGAGAGAGAGAGAGAAATTCCCTTCTTGTTTTCAAAGACACGCGTCCCATTCATTGCAGGCGTGTCTCGCCTCCTGCCCAAAGTGCAACAGTTTGTACTGGAATGCCTGGACCAGGAGACCCTGTCATTTGAAGCCACCATGATGCGGTTACAGCTGATAGATCATCTGGAGAACATAGAGTTCTACCAGGGCTGCCCAAAGGTGAGTCCTGACGTCACAACTTACGTCACACCTCACAGCATACATTACGTCACACCTTATGCCCCACACAATGTCATGTTTTACGTCACACCAACCACAATCGCCCTTCTAACACCTTGGTAACACGCCAATTCTTTCACATCTACTCATTACAAATGATGACATCATGGAAGGTGTTTTACACTGAACCATTGTATCTTGATAAATGGAAAAGCGTTCGAAGTGGATATCCTGTATTTCACGCTCTCGGGGTGGCTTCTCTGTCACTTGAGTATTCACTTTTTAGATAGGCAAAGCTATTCTGATATATCTTATGCTGCACCCCC